AAGATGACTGGGAGGCTCATAGTCTATCCAGGTAGAAATATCAAGAAAGCGGAAGGTTATATGGCTGAATCTCAGGAGAAAGGCTTAGAACAGTGTGGTCTGTGGAAAGAAAGAAGTTGAGCCTGGGGCATTGTGTGATCACCAGGGACAGTAGGTGGAGGGCGGGGTGTGCCGGTGAACACTGTGGAGTAACAGCGACAGCACTGGCTGGTTTTCTTTTCATGTCTCAGCTGCATCTGATTTCCATGACATACTCCTCTTGCTGAGCACAAGCTGGGACTGACTCTTACGTGTGCCTTGAGAGATCCTAATAGCAGTTGCTGTTCTATTGATGGTTTGGGAGCTCAAAATGGAAATAATAGTCCCTCTTCATTCCCAACTTCCTACTCTCCAGAACTCCAGAACAACTTTCCCCAAAGTACTCTGACTTGAAAAACAAATTTCCTAGGGGAAAGGGGACTACTGTTTTTTAAACACATTTCCAAAACCCTTCCCTGGAAATTCTGATTCTCTGGGTCTCGAGTAGGACCTGGAGGGATGGTGTTTTCAATTTCTTTAGATGATTCTATCAGGAAAATTTGAGAAATGGTATTCAGGCCTCAAAACAAAACCTCTCTTGAAATCTCATTCCAGACTGAGCCCCTGCTCCCTATCTTAAATTAGATTATAGTAGGTCTTAAAGGAAGCTATAAACGGAGCCTCTAACTCTGAACCCAGACCCACCCTAATCCCACCATACACCAGAAGAGCTGGTCAGTGTGGACCATTTGGAGCAACCCTACAAGTCTACTCTGATGGGAAGAAGCTAAGAGCAGTACCCTGGGCAGCAACATCAGCTCTGAAGAAGCAGGACTGTCTTACATGTTTCATGAGTAGGTCTTCACATGCTGAGATTCATAGGGCAGTAATAGAATCTGCTTGTGCAGCACTGGGGCCTTGGAGGGCCAGGGTAAGGCTCAAGGTGTTCGGGAAGTTTATATAAGGAGAATCAGAGCAGAGAGACTAGGGTTCAGAATTACTAGGGGGCTTAGTCCTGTTTGTTACTGTCACCACTCCAATGCCTTTTCCTCATTAGTCCTTTCTCTCCTCTGAGCCATAACTGAATGATGTTTCTACTTTTTCCTTTCCTAGATCCTGGATTTGGGATGCAGAAGCCCCAGCTCTTGGTCCCTGTCATAGCCACTTCAAATGGAACTCTGGTCCACCCAGCATACTTCCTTCTGGTGGGTATCCCTGGCCTGGGGCCTACCATACACTTTTGGCTGGCTTTCCCACTGTGTTTTATGTATGCCTTGGCCACCTTGGGCAACCTGACCATTGTCCTCATCATTCGCATGGAGAGGCGTCTGCATGAGCCCATGTACCTCTTCCTGGCCATGCTTTCCACCATTGACATAGTCCTCTCCTCTATCACCATGCCCAAGATGGCCAGCCTTTTCCTGATGGGCATCCAGGAGATTGAGTTCAACGTTTGCCTGACCCAGATGTTCTTTATCCATGCCCTGTCAGCCATGGAGTCAGCTGTCCTGCTGGCTATGGCTTTTGACCGCTTTGTGGCCATTTGCCACCCATTGCGCCATGCTTTTGTGCTGACAAGGCCTACTGTGGCCAAGATCGGACTAGCTGCCCTGACCAGGGGGTTTGTATTCTTCTTCCCACTGCCCTTCATCCTGAAGCGGTTGTCCTACTGCCGAACACATACTGTCACACATTCCTTCTGTCTGCACCAAGATATTATGAAGCTGTCCTGTACTGACACCAGGGTCAATGTAGTTTACGGACTCTTCATCATCCTCTCAGTCATGGGTGTGGACTCCCTCTTCATTGGCTTCTCATACATACTCATCCTGTGGGCTGTTTTGGAGCTATCCTCTTGGGGGCCAGCACTCAAGGCTTTCAACACCTGCATCTCCCACCTCTGTGCTGTTCTGGTCTTCTATGTACCACTTATTGGGCTCTCAGTGGTGCATAGGCTGGGTGGTCCCACCTCCCTGCTCCATGTGGTTATGGCTAATACCTACCTGCTGCTACCGCCCGTAGTGAACCCCCTTGTCTATGGAGCCAAGACCAAAGAGATCCGTTCAAGGGTCCTCCGTATGTTCTCACAAGGTAGCAAGTGAGACACTCTAGTGTTCTCAATACTAGAGAAGGTGGGACTATTAGGATCCTATTGAATGCCTTGGTGATTAAAATATCAAGCTTATTGTGCTGTCTTCTTCCAGCAATTTAAATAGACCATGTATTCTGTCTCCAGGAATGTGTCAGTACTGAACTTATGACCTTGTCTGGACATTCTGGAGAATGATTGCCCTTCTCCCTATGCTATAATGGTCTTGGCTTCTCCTTCTTTCTCAGCTAGAAAATACATTTAGTTTTGACATGGGGAGGCTATAAAGATCATACCTCATGATTCATTCCAGATTTGAAGTATGATTTTAATGTTCTTGCCCCCATGTATCCATGTTGATGAATTTGTGTTGACTGTAAAAGTGATTGCAAATACCTTAAAATGGTTACCCAGTCATAATTAGGGGTTTTGAAGGTATTTGGGGGATAGTAATTAGAGAGACAGTAACAAGACAAGAAGCAGCTCATATGCAATGTTTAAGTTTCTGTATGCAGGAGGGTGTATTGGCAGATTTGTGAAATCTGCCATGTGCATCTGTGTAGCTCTGTAAGACTATTTGTCCATAAGAGTGCCATGTATTCTGGTTGTGGGTGTGTTTATGTGGACACGTGCTTTTCAGTGTGTGTGTATGTGAGTGAGAGAGTGCACACATGGACACATGGAATACGTGTGGGCTGTGTCCTGGTGACTGTGGTAGCTATGTCATGGCATGTATGTTTCATAAGTCATGTCTCTGATTGCACATTTATTGTATTTCTGTGGTGTCTGTTAGTTGGTATATGATATTTGTCTACATGAGAATGCTGGTGTCTGTACCTGTATGGTGGGCAGTACCTTTATGTGTATCTGGTAAGAATACATACTGTCACACACTCCTTCTGTCTGCACCAAGATATGAAGCTGTCCTGTACTGACACCAGGGTCAATGCAGTTTACAGACTCCTCATCATCCTCTCAGTCATGGGCGTGGATTCCCTCTTCATTGCTCCCTCTACCTTTTCTTCAGATTTGTTATGTGAGTGTGGTGCATGAGTGTGTGCAGTGTATAGTACTGGGATGCCTATATCTTTCAGCATGTTTGGGCATGTCTACTGTGCATAATATTTGTGATATAAAACCATTTTGTGTGGCATATGTATTATTAGTGGTAAGTTGGTGAAATGTAATGTCTGAATTCTCTGTGCATATTGTTTTACTGGTGGTATTTTAGTGCATATGTTTTGTGTATATGTTTTAAGGCAAACTTTCTTTTGGTATTGGGTGTGTATTATGTGACACAAAAGTGGGAACAGCATCTGTATTTCTGGGCATTGATTAATGTGTGGTGTCTCTATGTAACTTGGACTAGAGGAGGGAGATTGAAGAAGTCTAGCTGTGAGCAGCAGAAATAATTTCCAAAGTTGAGAGACGTGACTCTAAGATGCCCTGTTTCTTGGCCTGGGGTCAGCCTGGGTTATGGCTCGGTCTGTGGGAAAGAAAGGAAACATGGTATTTCCTTACTTCACCTTTTCACAGGCTGGACCACACCTTCATCCTGAACACGAGGATTTCAAGGGCTTTTGTCACCTCTTCCTACCTTTCTTGCCTCTGCTACCTGAGGCACTGGCCACCATAAACCCTGCCCTTCTGCCTCAATAGCAGGTCACGCTATCCTCACCTCTCCCTTCCCTTTTTTGCTGGTCTGTCAAAGGCCGAATGCCCATCAATGATAGACTGGACAAAGAAAATGTGACACATATACACCATGGAATACTATGCAGCCATAAAAAATGATGAGTTCTTGTCCCTTTAGAGACATGGATGAATCTAGAAACCATCATTCTCAGCAAACAAGAACAGAAAACCAAACACCGCATGTTTTCACTCATAGGGAGGTGATAAACAATGAGAACACTTGGGCACATGGAAGGGAACAACACTCACTGGGCTAGGTTGGTGGGGGGCGGTGGGGAGGGACAGCAGGGCCTGGGGAGGATGGGGAGGGATAACACTGGGAGAAATGCCTGATGTAGGCGACGGGGGGGGGTTGGGGGTATGGAGACAGCAAACCACTATGGCATATATGCACCTATGCAATAATCCTGCAGGATGCAGGATGTGCACATGTATCCCAGAACCCAAAGCACACACACACACACAAATCCAAAAAAAAAAAAAAAGGCTTCGGTTGTAGGAAGTTTCTCCTGATACCTCTGGGAAGGCAAGGGTGGAGGGGAAGCCAGTCAGCCTCCCCTCTATTGACACATGGAAACTCCCCTAAGGCAGGAAGCTGAAAAAACTAGCATTGACCTCATTGTTCATCTTGTATCTGGTCTCACTGTCCTTCCACATGTCTCGCCGTTACGCCATATTGGATGGAAGTAGAAGTCCCTTTGACATTTTTTAAAGTCTTTGCCGAGTCTAAGTTAATGAGGTTAACGGAGGCAGCAGAGATGGCTCTGGGGTTCTGATAGCAAGTGTCAGGCTTCAGGCTCTGCAGGCACCAGAAGCTCTTGTCACCAGTAATTTTGATGTGGTCTGAGTTAGAATGGTCTGATTCGCCATTATGTAATTTTGCATAGTTTGAGTTAGCATGCCTTGTGTCCTGTATTTAAAACTTACAGTTGTGAAACTGATCAGTAAAAAATAAGGAGACACCAACTAGAAATCATGTCGTTTTATTTATAGATGTACTTTTTACTTATTTCAAAATATGAGGTATTTAGTTTTACATTTAAATTTTTCTCTATCTCTCTAAAATGTTCTCTCACTATTTTTACCCTTAAGAGAGAAATCATATGTCATTGGTCTTACATGCTGGTGTTGAGGGTGGAGAGGGTTAAAGAAACCACATCCTCTGTCCTCAACCAGTAACCAAGGCCAGAGAGTGGATGGTTGGCAGAGGCACTGTCCCTAGGGACCTTGGTTATGAGTTAGCCAGACACAGGCACCAGAGCCTGGGAGACAAAAAAAAAAAAAAAAAGATGTTACCTAGGGCTTTGGGAAAAAGAGGATGGACCCAGTGGATTTCAAGCTCAACAAGGACCTAAATAGGGTCCACCAAAGGACAGAAGGCTGGACAGAAAGAACACTTCAGGATGGAAGTGGGCTGACACTTTACTGTGGAGTTTCTCTGCAAACTTCCTTTGCTGTTCTCCTGGCTGAGTTTGGTAAGCCTAAGAAAAGACTTGGAGAAAGACAGGAGCCTCCATGAAGATGCTGGTTACACTAATGAGTTTTTTCTAGCTTTTTTCTACTTACTTTTCCTATCTAGCTTCATACTGGGAGCTGGCATGAGGATCCCAGTGGCCCACCTGGGGAGGACTCTAGAGGCCCCTTTCCCCCTTGCCCCTCCTCCCCATACCCCCAGGCATATCCTCCCAGGGCATGGAAGCTGAGAAGCAGACCAAAACCACAGTGGGCTGGTGAGGTGTACCTGCTGATGAACCCTTTGGACAGCATTCTGCCCCACCCTGCAGGAAGAAGCAGAAGGAGGGAGGGGGTAAGGCAGAGAATAAATAACGCTGACCAGGGAGGTCCAAGGGAGTAGGCGGAGATAGAGAGGCTGTATTTCAGTGCAGCCTGCCAGACCTCTTCAGGAGGAGGACTGGGCAAAGGGGGATCACACATTCCTTCCATACAGTTGAGGTGAGTGCAGGAGGCCAGGGGCATTTCCAGGTGCATGGGTTACTTGCAGCTAGGGGTCTCCTGTTAGACCTGCTGAGAGCATGAGAAGCCAGGCTGAGAAGAACCAAAAGTCGGAGATGTGCAGGTAGCCCTTGACTCAAAGGACAGGCAGCCTTAGCGACCTCTATGTTCGCACGATGAAGAGAAGCATGTGGGTGTTGGATGTAGTTTTTCAAGCAGTTTTTCAGTGACTAGTTTGCTGGCATGTCTGTCTAGAGGCTGGCAGGGGCTAATATAAATGGGGACAGAGGACAGGCTGGGTTGGGGTTAAACTGGGACTGCATTGGGGTTGGGTTGGGGTTTGGTGTGTGAACAGGGTGAGTATGGTTGACGCTCAGTCTATGACTGGGGATAAGGCTACAGCTGGGGTGGAGGTGGGGACCCTGAGTGAGGTCGGGCTCATTCTATGCTGTACATCAGGAGTCAGGCTGTGGCCAAGATTGGGACTTAGTAATCTTCCTGGGGCTCCGATCTCAGCTTGGTCTGTGTCTAGGATCAGGATTCAGTCTTCGGCCCATTTAAAAAGTAGATTAGTGTCCACACTGCAGCACCCCTTGCCCTGTACTCTTTACCCCAGCTACACTAAGCCACGTTCAGCTTTCCAAACAAAGCCTGTTCCCTTTCTCTCTGAGTCTTTGCATTAGCCAGGATGTACTTTTAAAAACAAACTAGTTCAGGTCCCTTGCTGAAATTCCCCCAAGTCACTCATAATTAAACCAAAGCTCCTTGCCATACCCTGCAAGACCCTGTTACCTGATGAGGTCCTTGCCCTCCTCTCTCCTCATCTTCTCAAACTCTCTTGTACTCTTGATGCTCTGACCACCTTGACCTTCTTTTTGTTCCATGAATCCCCCAATCTCATTCTTGCTGGAAGAGCCTTTTCTCTTGTTGTCTTCCACGGTTAGAATGCACTTTCCCTGGATCTTAGAATGGCTGGTGTTTTCTCATCACATAGCTCACATGTCACGTACTCAGAGAGGCTTTTTCTGACCCCTGTCTCCAGTATGAGTGTCCCGCACCCATCTTCCTCTGTCCTATCACTCTGTCTTGTCTTTTGTGCCCTTATCTTTATCTGAAATGTTATTTGTTTACTTTTTATTATTGGCCTCATGGTATGTGAGCTCCATAATAGCCATCATTTTGTCTGATTTATCTACTGTTTCATTTCCAGTTTTTGACAATATGTTTTTGTTGTCTAACTGAATGTGGCTATGCCCCGACACCATTACCCTCCTGCAACAGGACCCGCAGTCATGGCTCAGATGTCACCTCCTCAGGGAAACTTTTGGAGCCAAAAAAGCTTGCTGAGCTATTGTTGTTTTGCTCTGAGGCCCTTTTGCTTACCCTTGTCCCAGAACTTATTATAATGTGCTGTGATGGCTGCATATTTGTCTCAGTTTCTCCCCACCCTTGGAAGGCTGGAACTATATCTCTGGTGCTCAGCAGAGTCTGGTACAGAAGTCAGTCAGTGATGTTGAAAAAATGAGTGCACTGATCAAAATCCCACTTTGTGTATTTCCCCTGCCTTACATTTGCTTGCAGCCAGACTGGCTCCAAAGGGAACTGGTAACTAGGCACAGCTTTGTAGATCTTTAGAACATTTACCTGGTCCTACTCAGGAAGCGGAGGTGGAGAGACCTGAGCCCTAGGAACTCTGCCTAGGATGGTTTTATGTGGTCAGGCAGTCTTAAGTGAGTAGGGTGGGGCGAGGGCCTCACTTTGCTTTTTGGGAGTTAGAAATTGCAGTCTCTCACTGTTCCATTTTCATCTTGGCCATTTTAAGAAAAGTGGCCAACACCTTGCAAGGGTTCATCTGCTTTATTAAATACAAGCAAGGTGTAGGGCACAGCAGATGCAGATAATGTGAGTGGAAGTGATTCTGGGGCTACTATTCTCATGAAGTGTTAGGGAAAGGACTCTAAGAATCAAATGATGAGCTCCTCCAGTCCTTGCCGGTCACAGTGTTGCCCCTGAGATCTGCCTTCCCTCTCTGTGCCTGGGACTAAGGGCCAGAGGCTCCCAGGTATGTCTGGGCTTCTCTCCAAGGACATTCTTTTCTAAATATTCCCAGAGGCTGACAACAGTGCCAAAGGCCCCCCTCCATTTCTCCGGGCATGAAACATTCTGTGTGTTTAGCCCAGATAATCACAGTGACAATGAATCTCCTACTTGTTCTCCTTCCACATTGAACCTAAGTGGGGAGAGCTGGTCATGTGTCCTGAGTCCAAGAGGGGCCCCTGGACTCATGGGTCCTCAGTGCGGGATTCCTGGGAGATTAATATTGAAATATCACTTACAAACCAAAGTCCCTTCTTAAGGAGACATGGAGAGGGGTAGGGCAGTAGCTTGGCATTTTATAAAGCAATGGATTTAGCGCTAAGGGATCTAACTAAAATCCTCAACATTCTTATCTGTCAAATGGGATTAATGACATCTGCTTGACAGGTTGATGAGGGCCTCTAATTAGATAATTAGGAAATTCTTGGTAGACAACAAGCCTTTTACTCTCCATTGTGGGGCCTACCCATGTCACAGCCAGGGGAGTTAGGGCTGAAAGAAGAGGTGAGTGCCCCAAGTTCCAGTGAAGGGGAGTCTTCTTTGCTTCTCTCTTGGTTTCCCTTCTAAGAATATACCAGGGCAGCTGTCCTACTTACCAAGCCCTTCTTATACCTTGCCCTTTGAGTGGATTTTATTAGTTTCCAGAAGGTGCAGCAAAATTCAAGGCAGCCTAGCATAAGGGAAAGTGTATAGGCTTGGTGTGAGACTATCTAGGTTGTTTCTGCATTGCCAGTCACCTGTTAAACCCTGAGAATGTCATTTAATGTCTTGGAGCCTCAGTTTTCTCACCCATAATAGAGAGAGGATCCATAGTACTCACCCATAATATAAAGAGGATCCATGGCACAGCAAGAAGGGACGTTGATGACTTTGGGTCCTTTGCCTGAAGTTCTAAGTTAAATATGCTTTCTCTGCCTTAAACCTTCTCTTCCCAGCAGGTTGAATTAAACACCCTCACCCCCTGCAGAGCTGTTCCCAGCTTAGAGATAGTATTTATATGGATGGCACCATATAGTTTGTCACTTTGTAGGTGCACAATAATCTATGTTTATATTATAAAAACAACAAAATTAGGGTCACACGTGACCTCATTGTTTTCTTGGGTCAGAAGAGATAGGGCTAATAGGCCCTGGTCTACCTCTCTGACTGCTTTTCCATGGATCTATGAGAAGGAGTTCTAGGGAAGAATGTGAAGATGGGCTGGGAGCGGGGATGGGCTAGCATTAGGAGCAGAGTTCTGAAGACCAGAGGAAGGAAGAGGACTGAAGGCCTCCAGGTGGATTTCCAGTCTTTACAGCTGGGAGCTTCTGTTCCCCTATCCCTGAGAAAGGGCTAAGATATCCTTCATAGTTCCCCAAGAAACATTCCTGAACTTGCTAAGATAGTTCTAGTTGTTCAGAGAAAATCTCAGCACAGGGCTATTCCTTGGGGATTAGAGCAGTGTGTGGGCTTTCTAAAAAAAAAAAAATACTTTGTTTATTTTTTCTTGATTGTGCCTTATTTTAAAAATAATTTAGTTCCAACTTCCTCCAGAGCTCCAAACCATCTCACTGAGTTCTAATTGCTAACAGTTGCTCAAGCTAGAAGGCCATCTGGGAGTCACCTGTCCCTCTGTCTGTCTTGTGGAGGGATTGTAGAACATTGGGACGCATCAGGGCTGGCCAGTCTAAAGGGCGGCACTTGGGCTCTCTGGCTGGCGCCCTCTCCATCCCTTCATTTCTCTCCTGCTGTAGTCTTCTGGGGTCCAGGCTGATATTTTAGCCCCAGTGACAGCTGCCCATTTCATACTCCCAGGCACCTCCCTCCCAGGCCAGCTGAATCTTCCCTTTTTGGTTTCTGGTGTCTTTATATCAGTTCCCATTCTTGCTATTGTAGGAGATTGACTGCTAGTAAATATGTGTGTGTACGACTGTGTACATAGAGGCTGAGTGGTGATTAAGGTGACAAATTTGGGAAATTGAAAAGTATATGAAATTCCATACATTTTCAGAGACCTTGTTGCCCATTTTTGCCAAAAACAATGCACTCTGTGTACTCTGATTTAGTTTTTCCAATTCCTTTTGACGTGCCTTATCTCATATAATTTCACAGCAGCACTATGCAGTTATTGTTATTCTCTGCATTTATTTAGTGCCAAGACTTGTGTTCCAAGCCCCAGGATTCTGCTCACCACATTACTCTACCTTCAGAGGCAATAGTGTTGCATATGCCCAGCCAGATTTCTTTCCCAGTGTTTCTCCTGAGACAGCACATTTTTCTTTTTTTTATCCTGAGTATCAACCTGCTCTATTCAGGTTGGTATCTGGCCCTCTGGAGTGCCAGAACCTTCTTGCCAATGTCTCTAGGTAAGAGATCTTGGGTCTATTCTCTTAGGCACAGATTGTGCTGCATGTCCCCTTTGCATTTATATGGACCAACACTTTGCAGCTGCTTTGTTTTTTTTTTTTTTTTTTTTAATTATTATATGTATTTCTCTTGCCCTCTGATCCGTGGGTAAGAAAGGTCTTTTATATTTTACCCGAAGATTATTTTTCTAAAATTTAAATTACTCTGCAATGACCTTCCAAATATTATTTCATCCTTCTCAAAAGTCTCTTTAGTTCAGTTAACAGGCAGTCCTATATATGCCCTTGACTGTGTTAGCCTCACTAGTTGTATACTGAGTCTCTCCTGTTAATAAAACTCATTTTCATCTTCAACAAACATTAACTAAACATTAATTAATAAATATAATAGGGTTTCTGGTATTCAGGAGCTCATAATTCAGGGGAAAATATAGCGATTATTATAGTTATTATTATCAAGAGAATAAATACTTTAAAAAAGGCCTGAATACTATTCTTTTTGAGCACAGGGCAGTAAACCTTTAATTGTGCCTGTGTAGAAGAAGCTTAGGAAAAGTAGTAGAGGAGAGAGACAGTAAGCCAGGACGTGAAAAATGAGTGTGGGAAGTCAAGGACGAAGATCTGGGAGGAACAATTTTTCTTGGAAAGAGTATAAGAAGTAAAAAAAGACAGAAAGACACAGAGGCATGGGAATCAAGGCTACATTTTTGAAATAGCATGGACTCCAGTCTGGCTAGATCATAGAGGTTGTGGTGAGGAGTGGTGAGGAAGAAACCTAGGTCTGGGTGATGACAGACAGACCTTTAACCATGGCGTAAGAAGTTTAGTCTTTATTCTGGAACTAATTTGGAGTTTCAAGGGTATTTTAAAAAATAATAGGGAGTGAGCTGGTTTCATCTGGTTAGATTGTTGGGATTGTGTGGATGAGGAAGGTTACCCTAGAGGCATGGCAGTCAGGATCAGAGAACCTGGTTTGTATGATGGTTCAGGCCACCATAACAGAAAAAAACAAAACAAAACAAAACACTGGAGTAAAATGGTTAACAGTAGCAGATATGATTTTTTGCATACTTATGATGTGTGAGGTACTGTGTTAAATGCTTTACATTCATCATCTCATTTAATCTACACATTGACCCCCTATTAGTCAGGGACTCTTATAATCATTTTAATGATGAGGATGCTGAAGCTTAGAAAGGTTAAATGGTTTACAGATCACACAGCTCTAGGGGTTGTAGATTGGGTTTAGAATGCAAGATTGATTTCAAAGATCATACTCATAACAGCTATAGAATATGGCCTCTGGAAGAGTTTGTTTTTTGAACATGGAGAGTTTGACGTGCTTGAGAGACAACCAGGTGTCTCTAAATCAACCAGTTCTTTTAGTATGTCTTCAGAACTATGAACTTGGTTTATAAAAGAGAATTTGGGGTTCATTAAGTAGGTTTGGGGATCGATTGTACAACAAAAATGGATTTACTGAAGGGGTGAGATGCCCCAGGAAGAGAGCATAGAACAAGAAGAGCACTGAAGATACAGTTTTGGAGAGGAGAATGAAGATCCAGAAATGAAACCAATAATTAGTGATCAGAGAGAGCTGAGGAACAGCAGGAGGGAGAGGGAGAAGCTCTAAGAAGAAGGAAACGGCTCCCAGTGCCACATGCTGCAGAGAAGCTGTAGCAGCAAGAAGGGACGTTGATGACTTTGGCCCTCTTTGCCTGCAGCTCTAGGTTAAATATGGTTTCTCCATTTTAAACCTTCCCTTCCCAGCAGATTGAATTACAAGCTCTCACCCTCTGTTCTACTATTCATGCTCCTAGTGTTTTCCCACTAATCTCTGTCTGGTCTGAGGAAATCTCCGAATCTCTGGGTGACTGCTTGATGGTGATACAGAGATTTGTGACACACTCTGAGCCCGGGAACCTCGTCTGATGCTGGCCATGAACTCTAACTTATACTCAGATACTTTCTGGTAACCCATGCAGAAACTCCTACCCCAGCTCTCAAACTTTCAAGGGCCAAATCTATTTTAAAACTACAATATACATGATTTAATAAATACAGGTTGAGTATCCCTAATCTGAACATCCAAAATCTGCAAGACTCCAAAATCTGCAATTTTTGAGTGCCAGGATGATGTTCAACGAGAATGCTCATTGGAGCATTTCAAATTTTGGATTTTTACATTAGGAATGCTAATCTGGGTATGTATAATGCAAATATTGCAAAATACAAAAAAATCCCAAATCTGAAACACTTCTGGTTTCAAGCATTTCAGAGGAGGGCTACTCTGTAGTAGGAGCACATGAATATTTGTAGATGGAGGAAAGGAAGGGAGAGAGGGAGTCAGTTCACTCTTTACAGAGACATGCAATCTGAGGTGACCCAAGTCTGACATTTCCCACCTCAGCAATATCTTCTTATGTAAATCATTTTGTGTAGTAAGATTCAGTTCATTTGTAGACTGAACTCTGCTATAGGTTGATTATGCCTCTGGTACTTCTAATGCCATCACCCCTCAGGGTTAGTATTCTAGTTATATAAATCCCACTCTCTCAGGTTGGGTGGGTCTCCTAGAAGCAGAACCTGAGGTGGGGGTTCTTGTCCAAATGACATATTGAGGGAGTACTGTTATGAGAAGAATGAGGGAATCCTGATAGGGCAGGGGAAGAAAGCTAAGCAGGGCTGTGGTCTCAGCTGGAGACTAGCTTCAGCCTTGTTCCTTGGAAAGCTCTGAAGTACAAATTGCTTTGAAGTATTTGTTGCACCTGTAGGCAATGTTACACCTGGAGTCCTTTGGTACCCTTATGTCAGGGAGCCACTGGCCTCTAGGTGTGCATCATGGGGGCATAGTGTACCATCCTGGATGAGGTGCCTCCCATTTGACCAAGGACAATCCTCTGTAAAGAGGAGGAGCTGTGAGCCCTTAGCACTCAATACTCAGTGCAGATGGGAGATGGTTGCATTGCCTTTGTGAATGGCATATGGCTGGGACACCAATGGCATCCACTATAGCCATCATTCCTTTTTTTGAAATAAATTGAGTAGTCTGGACAAGTGTAAAACTTTGGGGGTCATTTGGACAAGAAGGAAATGTAGAATTAGAGTTCAGGATTAATTTGGTGTCAGTTTTTTGTTGGATTAGGGTTTATCATAATAAAATAGAATTTGAATTGTGAGTTGAATATCATAAATTCAATCTATAAATTAAGATTGAAATGGTTATTAAAAGGTCAAATCTTAAGTTAATGTTAAAGTCAGGATTAAGTCTAGCATTGGGGAGATCTTTAGATTAGTTATGGAGTTAGGTTTCAATATTAATCTGTTATTACTAGTATTACACTTGGACTGGAATTATTTTAAAGGATAGTCTAATGATATGCTTAGAATTGCGGTTAGTATTGAGTACAGGAAAGAATAAAGGAAGGCTAGGATAGAGGAAATTATGAGATTTTTTTTTTTTTTTATCAGCTAAGACTCTTTCATATTCAGTCAGTACCCTTTCTTTGGAGAACTAAATGATTTGGAATATACTTAAAAATTTTGTCTTAGTCTTTCACTTGCTGCCAGAATTAACAATACAGGCGGGGTTAGTAAGTAGGACTGGATGAATTTGTGTCTGGTCCTTGAATTACGTTAGATTGCATTTAGAAAATGATTAGAATTTGCATAAGAAATGGAATTAGAGTTTGAGTTAGAGAATAGGATTTCAAGATAGAGTGAGGTGTGGTATTGAGATTCTCAAGGATCTGACAATGGCTTATCTTTGCATTCCAGCCTCTACCCGCCTGGTGCTGGTCACACTTCAGCTTCTCCATGATGGTGGGTCCCAATGGTAATGAATCCAGTGCTACATACTTCATCCTAATAGGCCTCCCTGGTTTGGAAGAGGCTCAGTTCTGGTTGGCCTTCCCATTGTGTTCCCTCTACCTTATTGCGGTGCTAGGTAACTTGATGATCATCTACGTTGTGCGGACCGAGCACAGCCTGCACGAGCCCATGTATATATTTCTCTGCATGCTTTCAGGCATTGACATCCTTATCTCTACCTCATCCATGCCCAAAATGCTGGCCATCTTCTGGTTCAATTCCACCACCATCCAATTTGATGCTTGTCTGCTACAGATGTTTGCCATCCACTCCTTATCTGGCATGGAATCCACAGTGCTGCTGGCCATGGCCTTTGACCGCTATGTGGCCATCTGCCACCCACTGCGCCATGCCACAGTGCTTACATTGCCTCGGGTCACCAAAATTGGTGTGGCTGCTGTGGTACGGGGGGCTGCACTGATGGCACCCCTTCCTGTCTTCATCAAGCAGCTGCCCTTCTGCCACTCCAATATCCTTTCCCATTCCTACTGCCTACACCAAGATGTCATGAAGCTGGCCTGTGCTGATATCCGGGTCAATGTCATTTATGGCCTTATTGTCATCATCTCTGCCATAGGTCTGGACTCACTTCTCATCTCCTTCTCATATCTGCTTATCCTTAAGACTGTGTTGGGCTTGACACGTGAAGCCCAGGCCAAGGCATTTGGTACTTGTGTCTCTCATGTGTGTGCTGTGTTCATATTCTATGTACCTTTCATTGGATTGTCTATGGTGCACCGCTTTAGCAAACGGCGTGACTCTCTCCTGCCCGTCATCATGGCCAATATCTATTTGCTGGTTCCTCCTGTGCTCAACCCAATTGTCTATGGAGTGAAGACGAAGGAGATCCGACAGCGCATCCTTCGACTTTTCCACGTGGCCACACACACTTCAGACTCTTAGGCGTCAGCGATCAAACTTCTTTTCCATTCAGAGTCCTCTGATTCAGATTTTAATATCAACATTTTGGACGACAGTATTCAAAAAAAAAATTTTCCTTGATAAAAATACAACTCAGCTCCTTCAGATATGAAACTAGTTGGGGAATCTCCATTTTTCAATATTATTTTATTCTTTTATCTCTATATACAGTTATTAATACCCTCGCTTGGTTGTGGTTGGAGGATTATTACTTTCCATTTTACCATGCAGTCCAAATCTCAACTGCTTCTACTGATGGTCCAGAGCATTCTGAGACAATAGTAGTACATCTAAAGAACATTTGCCAAAGGCTTAAACATGGCAAAAGGAAAATAAACACAAGAATATAATAAAACGAGATAATCTAACTTAAAACTGTAACTTCCTCTTCACAACTCCCAACCACACTGGATCTCAGAAAAAGACTGTCTTCAAAATGACTTCTGCAGAGAAGAAATAATTTTTCTTCTGGGCATAGCACTTAAGGAGAAGATTGGAAGTAAAGCCTTGAAAAGAATACATTTACCTACATTAATGAAAGTTGACACATTCTGCTTTGATAGTTTTCACAGCATATGGACACTGATTGGACACTAATTTTCCTATTTAATTTTCTAATCAACTTTTTAATTTAAGCAAAGATATTATTAGTACCCTTATTGTGGCAATGGAAAAATTGTTGTTCAGTGAGGATCAGTGAATTAAATGGGGTCATACAGGTATAAAAATTAAAAAAAAAGGCTTTTAATGCCCAATCTCATATTATGTGGAAGAACTGTTAGAGAGACCAATAGGACAGTGGGTTAGAGATTTCCAGAATCTTACATTTTCTAGAGGAGCTATTTAATTTCCTCTCATTCATCCAGTGTTGTATTTAGGAATTTCCTGGCAATAGAACTCATGGCTATTGATTATTGTCCTGGTCCAATTGTCACTCTACCTGTGTCTTGGAAGCAGAAGTGATTTCCAGGTCCACCATTATGGAAGGTTCTTAAACAGAAAGTCTGGCATGGGGCTTATAGCTATTTGTTTTTAAAAGTTCCATAGGTGATTCTGATAGACAGCGAGGTTAGGGAGCCACCAGTTACAATGGGAAGTATGGAATGGCAGGTTTGAGTGTGACTGGTAGCTGGAAAGTGAGGGAATCTTCAGGACTATGCTTTATTTGGGGCTTTGGGTAGTATGGAACAGGAACTTTGAGGCCAGGAAAGCAATCTGACTTAGGCATGGGAATCAGGCATTTCTGCTTCTGAGGGGCTATTACCAAGTGTTAATAGGTTTCATCTTCAACAGGATATGACAACAGTCTTAACCAAGAAACTCAATAACAAATACTAACACATGTGATCATGTATGTGGTGAGAGTCATTTTCTTTTTCAATCCTCAGATTCCCTGATATGGATTCCTATAACATGCTTTCATCCCCTTTTGTAATGTATATAATGTTTGGAAATGTCTATTTAATACTTGTATTTGCTGCTGGACTGTAAGCCCATGAGGGCACTGTTTGTTAGTGAGTGTCATCTCTGTTCATCATTGATTGCTCTTTGCTTATCACTGAATCCCCAGCAAAGGGCTTAGAACGTAATAGTGCTTATGCTCGATACTGGCTATTTTTCACCAAACCTGATTCCTTCCATCATGAACACACATCCAGGCCATTGTCCAGCCTTCTTTGATTTGGGCTTTATTAAATTCTAGCCATTACTTTCAATGTAAGTGGAAGTGACATGTACCACTTCTATACCTGGCTCATAAAGCCCTCCCATGTGCAGTCTTTCATGTTGACATTAAATGTAACTTTGAAAACTATGTTTTACACATAGAAAACCACCAGAATCCTGGATTCCTAAAAAACTGTGCAGGGCCAAACCTCTGTCATTTGCAAGTCCCCCTTGTATTTTCATCAGGCAGTTGGATAAGAGAAAAATAAAGTACTAGTGTATCAAGTCTCTGAAAATGATTTTATTGTTCTTAAAGTATTCTAGCCTTGTAAATAAAACACTAATTTAATAGTTGTTGAATAAATAGATTAAAAACTAAAGGAAATAAAAACTGAAAGCTGAAGGGCTCAGGAAAGGCTGCTCTTCCTCCTTCCAGAGTAAACATAAGAGGTATAAATTTATCAAAGGAGGAAATATTTCCTTACATTATCATAAATATCACAAAGTCCTTATTATTCATTGTGATGTCAAGCTGTGTCTCATGTAGGTTTCTATTAATTTGCTTTGGATTGCTACCATCCCAACTTCTTAGGAAACTTACATTGTTATCTCTTCTCCATCATGGATGTTCAACCTCCCTCTCTCATATGAATCATTCCTAGCATTTATCATGTTCAAACCTTCCATATTAAAAGCAACAATGACAACAACCAGTATAACTCTGTCTAAAACTCTTTTGTCTCTTCCCTTTAATAGCCAAATTTCTTAGAGAAGTTATCTATAACTTATTTTCATTTACACATCTCTCATATAACTCTTCCACTATTCCTGTTTAGTTTTGGCCTTGGACAAACTGCCAAAGAACTTTTACTATACATCATCAGAAACCTCTGTGTGCCTGAGGTTTTTAGTTTTTATCTTCTCTGATTTCTCAACAACATGTAACACAGTTGACCACTCTGTTTCTTGATACATTGTCTCCCTTTGTCCTTTGTGGCATCACAGTCATGGTTTTCTGTTTATATCTCTGTGTACTTCTCAGTTTCCTTTGCACATGCGTTCTACTCTGCCTGGTGAAAGAATATGGTGTAATTGAATCAGGCCTCTAATTCCTACACAATTAATACTTGTATTTGCTGCTGATCTATAAAATTTGAGTTGATGGCCTCTAATTCCTCTGCAATCACACACACACACACACACACACGCACATGCATGATCACACACACACACACACACACAACCATTCAGTTTGCCATTTGTATATCAGCGACTTAATTTGTATCTTTAGACTAGATTATTGGGCTAGTATAGAGCTCTAGGCTTGTAAGTCTAATGTCTGTGTAACCCAGACATTTGGATGCTTCAAGCTCAAAGTGTCCAGAAATCAAATTCGTGATATTCTTTATGCAATTATATTCATCATTCATGTTTCATATATCAGTTAATCTTGCCACTGCTAATTCTCATGTGCAAGCCTCAAACCTAGGACTGAAACGTGGCCTTTTCTTTTTCTTCTCTTAACCTTCATCTTTGATTCCAAATAAAGTTATATAATTTCGACTGCTTTTATAACTTTGATCCCATGTTTCTCTTTATTTGTACCTCTACTCCCCTAATCCATGTTACAATAAATTCATCTTGACTATTTCAATAGCCTTGTAACTGGTATATTCACATGCATTATAGCTTTAAGTCAATCTATTCTCTGCAACACAATGTAAAACCCTCTTTCCAAAGGCAAATGTGATCATGTCAAAGCCACTCTCTCTTCTGCTTAAAATACTGTTAATATTTCCAACCTTTTTGGTTGGACCCATTTCTATTTTCAGGCTTATCTTGAGCCATGGGCTCCTTGCTCATTGACTTCCAGTCCCACTGCCTTTTCTTTCTTTCCTTTATTTCACCATACTTCCTCCTTTACAGGCTCTTTGGAGACATGGTTTAGTATGCCTTCTCCTAAACATTCTTTCTCAGTTTTATATATATATATATTTTTAACATTCAGACTTCCCCTTAATTATCACTTCTTGAGAAAACTCATTCCTTACCCCTTAGGGCAGGTCAGATACCCTTATTGTATATGTTTACGGAACCATCTATTCTTAATTCACGTATGTAGTCATTTTTATAGGCAGAATTCTAAGATGACCCTACAGAAATGTCCTGCTCTGGCTTCCAGAACCTTTAAATATGATGAACTGTCACTCCTGGGATTGTGTTACATGATATATCACACAACTGGATCTTCAGATAGGGAGATTATATCCCCATGGGCCTGGTCTAATCACATGAGACCTTAAAAACAAGACATCTCTCTAGTTGGTGACAGAAGTCAGAGGTATTCAAAGCATGGCAAGGATGTGATGTGCTGCTGCTGGCTTGACGATGGAGGAGCATGTGAGAAGGAATGCGGGTAGCCTAGGGAGTGGAGGGAGGCCAACAGAGAGCAATGGAAAAGTGATTCCAGTGGCATGGCTTCAGGAAACTGGATTCTGTTAATAACCAGAATGAAAGTGGTTTCTTCCCCTAGGCTCCCAAATTAGAACCCAGTCAGCTGAAACTTTTATTTTAGCCTTATGAGAAACCCAGCCATACTTCTCTTAAGGCTAAGAAGGTCACCCCTACTTCTGACCTTCAGAATATGAACTAATAAATGGATATTGGTTTAAGCTGTTTTTTTTTTTTTTTTTTGCTGTGCAGCAATAGGAAACTAATGCAGTCATCAAATACATTCTTAGTGCTATTAAAATGAGTGTGAACCCAGCACTGAGAATGCAATGCAGAACAAAGGTGGTTTAAATTCCTCCCTCATGGAGTACACAATCCCCTGGGGGAAGAGAATCCTAAATGGATAGTGCTTCATGCCATTGCAAATTTATATTTCTTTGCAAACATATTTAATTAGTGTGTCTTCCTTCCACAAGAATCAAGTCTGGTTTTTGTAGCATTCTAATCTTGCCCATCACGTAACAGAGTGTCTGGCTCACAGGAGTCACTAAAGAAAAAAATAAAGAACTATTCATTAATACATGCAGAATAAAATGCTCCAAGTCAGATAGCTGATGTGAATGAGATAGTTGTGACAGAGTTTGAGTAAGTTTTGTTTTCCTGACTCTAAAGCTTGTGTACTTAAACACTATAACGTATCATTGTACTTACCCAATGCAGATGCTACATTTTGAGATCCTGTGAAACCGACCTCACACGTAGTAGGAGTAATAGTGGCACAGGTGAAGAGAAAGATGCACATGTCCTTACAACTTCACCTTGTAAGAAAGTGCATTCTAGCAGAAACACATAAACAAATCTTGGTATTTATCCTCTAAATCTCTTTTTATTTCTTTCTTCTTTTTTTTTTTAATTATACTTTAAGTTCTGGGGTGCATGTGCAGAACGTGCAGGTTTGTTACATAGGTATACACATGCCATGGTGGTTTGCTGTGTCCATCACACTGTCATCTACATTAGGTATTTCTCCTAATGCTATTCCTCCCCAGTCCCCCCACTCCCTGCTATCCTTTCCCTATGCCCCAACCCCCCCACAGGCCACAGTATGTGATGTTCCCCTCTCTGTGTCCATGTGTTCTCATTGTTCAACACCCACTTATGAGTGAGAACATCTGATGTTTGGTTTTCTGTTCTTGTGTCAGTTTCTTGAGAATTATGGTTTCCAACTTCATCCAGTACTTATCTCCCAGAGCTGTGAAGGACATCACTTCCACCAAAAAGGCCCAGGAGATGCACTATGGTGAGAAATTAGGGAACTTTTCTTGACTAAGAGAGAGTACTTAATTCCATCAGTCAGCTGTATTGCATCTCTCACGCCTGCAGTTCATCTACCCAATGTAGCTGAAAACTTTCTCACAAATGTTTACAATTATTTATATGTATTTTTTCCTCTGAAGGACCAGAAGCTCCCTAGAGGAAAACATCTCCAAATTACCTCTTAAAAAACCCATTGCTTTATCTCCTGTTCAAAATAATTTATCATTAAATCTTCAAAATACTTACTGAGCATCTACTGTTCCACCAACAGCACTAGGCACTGAATATATGTTGGCACCCTCAGGGCTTACCATCTAGTTGAATGACAAACTATTGTATATATGCAAGAAGCAAACACAGTCCCTTGAATAATCTGGAAAGGAGAATTAATGAGACAGGCTTTTCTGATAAATTAGGTTTATACTTGACAAATGAGAGGAGCAGTTAGAAATGAGACACGGGCATGGGGGGAACGAGAACATTCCAGGCAGCGTAAAAGTTATCTGGGAAAGCCCTGAGGCCAGATAAGAGGTTAAACTGATTAGTCTTCCTGGCTCCAGATTTGTTCATATGTACAATGCACTTCTAATCTGCAATTTACACTACTAACTCATAGTAAAAAAGTAATGATTTTTATGTACTAGATACAAACCAAACCACTCAGCATAATACGTACAGTCCTATACAATTTAGTCACCTACTCCTTCATCCCTACCACTTCCTTTTCTTGCTGTATGCCACAGGCATGCCTATGAAGACATAAGTGATGGAGACATAAAGAAGTACAGGAATGCACACCTTTTCACAAACACTTTTTCAAAATTGGAGTCTTCTTTTCATGTTGCTCTTTTGTTCTAGATTTTTCTCTTATTTAATTCTTAGTTTGCCTAGAAATACTCTAAATTTTTCAAGATGAAGTAAAAATTATTATCTCCTTTGTGGCGGCTTGCCACACCTTCCCAGACATGTTCTTCCAAAGACCAATTTCTGGTCTCTAGCAATCTTTTGAGAATAACTTTATTATGTAACTTACTGGTTTATAGTCTGGTTGTGTCTTTATTTGCCTTTCTCCTGGCACAAGATTGTGTGCTTTTGGCGACAAGGGCACACATTTCATTTATTTCTCAGCCTTTCATCCTTATCACTACTTTCTTACAAAGTAAATGCTGAATATAAATTTGTTACACGAGTGGGCTTCCCACTGTCTTAGCACAGATTAGGGATTTTCAGTGCTCGCTGGTTCTAACAGGTTTCTGTAAGGCTCTAGCAGTCTGTTTTATGTTACCCAGGCCATAAGATATGTTGTAATTTCATCAGCCTTGGCCTCTCTTCCTCAGCATCCTGAGCATGGCCTCCCTGATGGGCTTGGACTTCACACTGTAAATGATGGGGTTGAGCACAGGAGGTATCACCAGGTACGCATAGGCAACAAGAGCATGTACAATGTGGGGCAGGTGCCTCCCAAAACGGTGCATCATGGACATGGTGATACATGGAACGAAGAAGACAAAGACAGCCAGGATGTGGGAAACACAGGTGCTGAGGGCCCGGATGCGCTCCCTGGGAGAGGCCAGACCCATGACTGTCCGCAGGATGAAGGTATAGGACAGGATGATGAGCAGGGAGTCTATGCCCCCTGTAGATACAACCACATAGAGCCCATAGCATATATTGATTGTGATGTCGGCGCAGGCCCACCTCATCACATCAGGGTGGAAACAGAACGAGTGGGACAAGATGTTATTGCCAGGGCAGAAATTTAGACGCTTAATCAAAAATGGCACAGGGAAGAGGCACAAGGTAGCTCGAGCCACAATGGCCAGCCCAATCCTGATGATGACATTATTTGTAAGGACAGCTGCATAGCGCAGGGGGTTGGAGATGGCCACAAAGCGGTCAAAGGACATGGCCAGGAGCACTGAGGACTCCACCACAGAGAAGGAGTGCAGGAAGAACATCTGGGCCAGGCAGGCATTGAAACCAATCAGCCGATAGTCAAACCAGAGCACAGCCAGGGTGGTGGGCAGTGTGGACAAGGTGAGGCCCGCATCAGTAAGCGCCAGCATGGACAGGAAGCAGTACATGGGCTGGTGCAAGCTGGGGGTCCTCTTCACAGCCAGGAGGATCAGGCAGTTTCCAGTGAGGGCCACAGTGTACATTGAGGAGAAGGGGATGGCGAGCCACCCGTGAATGGCCTCCAGCCCTGGGATGCCAATCATGAGAAAAGCAGGTGGCTGGAAGAAGGAGATGTTGATGTAGGACTGTGGAGGGAGCATCCTAGGGAGGCAGCTGAGGGCTCTGGAGAGGTGTGAGCTCTTCAATCTGGGCAGATAGAAGGACGCTGATAGGACACCTGCCAGTAGGAAGACATTTATTTGTGCTGTGTGGGCTTTTTCATTAATTGTTTTTCATTTTGCTTAGCCCTTGCTCTGTATTATTAACCCTTCCAGGAATGTGCAGACATTAACTAATATGCCCTCGAACGAAATTCAAATTCTCCAGGGATAGTATAACTCTGCTTTAGTTAGCAAAACATGAATGACAATGGTAGATTTAGAATTTAGTTCTTTGTTCTCATGTTTATTTTTTAAAATTGACATAAAAATATATGTATTTATCCTGTACAATATGAAGTTTTCCAGTATATATACACTGTGGAATAGTGAAATCTAGCTAATTAACACAAGCATTACCTCATACATTTATGATTTTTTGTGATAAAGATCAGTAAAAATTCACCCTCTTACCATTTTTCTTCCCTCCCTCCCTCCCTTCCTTCCTTCCTTCTCTCTTCCTTTTCTTTTCTTCTTCTTTTTTGAGATAGGGTCTTGCTTTGTTGCTCAGGGTAGAGTGCAGTGCCAAGATCATAGCTCACTGCAGCCTCAAACTCCTGGGGTCAAGTAATCCTCCTGCCTCAGACTCCTGAGTAGGTGGGACTACAGGTCTGCGACACCATGCCTAGCTAATTATTTATTTTTTAAATTTCTGTAGAGACAGGGTATCACAGTGTTGTCCAGTCTGGTCTTGAAGTCCTGTGATTAAGCAATCCTCCCACCTCAGCCTCTGAAAGTGCTGGCATTACAGGTATGAGCCACCATACCTGGCCTTAGCATTTTCAAGCATAAAAGATAATATATTGCATTATAGAATTTAGTTGCTGCTAACTATACAGTTTATACTGCTTTCACTTTAACATACAGTGTCTTCACAAAATGAAAGTGTTTGCTAATTTTAAATGTAAAGCACACTATCAATGCTCATCATTATCATCATTACATCTTTGTTGTTTCTGTCCTTATCCCCATTCTTATTCCGCTGATACTGTATTTTTTGCAGTATTCTAAGTGCTTTCACAGTAATTATGTCATTGGAGTCTCACAATTACTTTGCCTGGTAGACAAAGAAGGAAAACATTTTTACTAACGTGAGTGTAGAGAAATGCTTAAATCCATCAAAGAAAGATTAAAACTGCAGCACTCCCCATAAAACAGCTGTTAAAACTCCAGTGTGTGTGTGTGTGTGTGTGTGTGTGTGTGTGTGTGTGTGTGTAAGATGTGAGTGCAAAATCCTGACATTCTCTAGTAATCAAGTCCCACAAATGAGAAAATTTTAGGCTAAGGATAAAAATAGGTGCTAGGAAAGTTTTGATAAATGAAGTGACAATTTGATTCTCACCAGGTCACTGAAAGCTGTCAAGGATGTGGGGTCTTTCTGTGTCTTGCCTGGAGAATATCAACCGGGTCATTGGATGCCCTTGCAATTCAGGCTACAAACTAACGAGAATCATTCCTTCACCCCATTGACTCAATATTTCCCAGAATTTAGGAATGCCAGACAAATATTTCCTTCTGCCCCTTAGCACACCCTTCCTGAAGTCCTTTGTCCTTGGATGTGTCTCCCTCTAAATCACTTAGCACTGTTGTCTTTCCTAGCTGGGGGCGCCAAAGCTGCAGGCCCAAGGAGTCCGAGGTACTGCCCTAAAGTTAGAATTTCCAAAGACACCTATTAGAGCATGAATCAAAGACATAAATGTATGCTGGTTTCAGTGTGTGTCCTACAAATGCTACTAATGTTATTATCTGATGCTGGGCAAATACAGTTACTAATGTATCAATCATTCAGTATCTCTTGTGTTCCAGTTATTAGACTCTTCACATTTTTTATTGTAAATAATACCTCTCTGCTTATAAAACAATCATGCAAGGTAGATATTATCATCTTCTTAAAAAAAGATAGCAATAACAATAATAATGATATTATTTTAAAACAAATAAAACCAGAGAGAGAGGTTGAGTTCCTCTAGGGCAGTCTAGAGTGACAGCACAAAGTCAAATTGAGGTCTACTTCCCTCAAACCTTTCAACAGTCGCAAACTGTCTGCATCATACTAGATGCTAGAGACTGGTGAAATGTGAGCTGTTTGGAGAAGATGAGCTGGAAGTTTCTATTTTCTTCTTATGTTCCGTGGTGACATGATTTAGGGTTCTGCAGATGCTGTGTTTTCCTGTTTCTCCAAAACTCTGTTTACTCAGTATAACCCTTTTCTTCACACTATTTGCCTTTTATTGTGCTAATTGCCTCCCCATTTTTGATTTTCTTTTTACTAATTAAAGGTACATTTCTTCAGAAACCTCATTCAATCCTAATGTTCTGATTTTGATGATTTCCAAATCTCTGTTCTTTTCTTTTTCAGGGAAATCAATGAATGAGCAAGTGAATCCATTATTGAATAATGATTTCTTTATTTATATAATACACTTCCTCTTTACCTCAAGCCTTAATAAAGCCTCTTCTAGTGCCCATGTTCACAACTTTTACCATATAGTTTGTGTACAGAAAAGATCAATGACTCCTTCAGATTAATTAAATTAATTGTGATTTTTTAGTCAGTACTTATTTAGATTTACATAAGGTCAATCCAGAAAATAGTCTCTTTGTCGTTGGTAACATAAATCAGAATACAGCGTAAATTCGGGACTCTCCATTTACCTTTCAGGAATCCGAGGATAAATTTTCCTCAAGTTGATGTGACATTTCCCGTTCTTCCAGCCTGCAGTGACTGATCTCTGCTCTACTGACTCACAAATACATTATCCTAGAACTCACTGTTGTCTCCTAGTTGACATGCAGGTCCTACATCACTCTGGGTATTTTTTTGATCTGTTTCTCCCGGATGTGATGGAAAGATCAAAATGCTAAGTTTGGTTCAATATTACAAGAAGCTGAGCACTCAAAAATAAAACTATACAGTAATTCTTAGGACAAGTTGCCAAAAATTTGTACTTTATACAATCAAACTAAATTCTCTCTTTTCACCAGGTCATTGTCTTTTCACCCATTTTCATGTATTGTGAATATTACAGTGATATGAGAGGCCTGACTTGAGGGAGGAATTCTGTGTATTAAAATAAAAATTTTTGCTTTTGTTGCCTTTCTTTTATGTAAATATCCATTCTAGTAACCAGCTGGGATTGCCATGTTTCTTAGTTCCCATGGACTCAGAAAATTTAATCTCTCAATTCTGGAAATTAGACCAGGTTCGTTTTTCTGCTATTATATCCAGGACATAAAAGAGTCAAACCTATTTAAAAATCATAACTCTTCCCAGAAAAAGGAGGAAACGTGTGGATGATTTTTAACTTACGTTTCTTTTAATACTCTAGGAATCATCCATGACTGTATGTGTCTGTGGGAGTTAAAAGGAGTGACTCAACATGTTTTATCTCCTCTACCTTAAAGTCAAGTGCTTTCCTTAAAGGCTCTTGTTATGTAGGAGAATATGAAGGACAATCTCATAGCGAAAGTTGAGATCTCAAGAAAACATTCAGATCATCCCCAGGATGCTACCTGAGATGGGATCTTAAGATACCCTCACAGAATTGCCCTACTTAGAGAAACCAAATGGCATGAATCAGCTTGGTCATGGAGTCTAGGTTTCTGAATAATGATCTGAATTGAGAAATCTCTGTGTTCAGGAGTGTTGCTTCCTTTCTTACTCTCCCACATCTAGGGGCGTGTTCCTACCATCTATGGAAGTCCAGGCCACCTCACTTTTTTTCCTGATTTTGACACCTGCTCATCTCTCATCCTACTGGTTCCTTCTTTTGGGGGTAGCTGACAGAGAGGGGATCTCAGACTCACTGAGCAGCCCTTTCCCTTCTAAATAGTGCAGAAGGGACTGTGTCCAGACCCCGTGTTACTCACTCTGCTTATTGTCAAAGCCTTCTTTACTTCTCCAAGTCCTGAAGGAGCCCAGGAAGTCTCTGAAGCTAACATCTCATCTTTATATCCTTGGCTAGATGTCTTGGTGAGGTGCTGTTCCCCAGAGATCCCTTGGGGCCCAGGCCACCTAGGAGGTTCTCTGCCAACTTGTTCCTGGGCAATAGTAAATCAGTGGGGTGTGTGTATTGGGAAGGAGAGTTACAAAGCAAATGAGTCATTTCAGCAATGGAGCTGTGTAGGAGAGGAGAGAGCTAGAATCAAGAAGTCTCTGTGCTCCAGGTATAGTGTTTCAACTCTGCCATACCTTCAGGAAGCTTCACTACGCACGTCAATCACTTCCTTTACTGTGCTTTGCAGTGACATCAGCTATCCCATTTGGAGTCACAGAGACCACTTTGTAGCCTCTCTCAGTGAGGGCCTTTTAGGCCATCAGGGTCAGTGTTATCTTCCCTCCACTCCATTTTAGCCCCCAGGGATGGATTCAGGTGAAGCAGCCCCACTTCCTGTGTCTGCTCCTCATGGACACTGTGGGAACTCTGTTTTCTTCATCTGCATATCTGAATCAAGCAACCTGAGAAGGTAGATGGGGAGAAAAGGGCCCTGAAACAGGGAGAGATGAATGTAGCCATCAGGCATGTTTATTGGGAGCTCTCCAGCTCTCTGTTTTTTGTCTTTAGAGAGGCAGAGAGTCATTCGACCTAAGAATTTTTCCGTGCTGTCTTGCATATCCCCATAGGCCTCCCTTCATTCTTATGTGTGAACTAAATTGAAAATATGAACAGCTTAGAGAAGAATATAAGTGACTTGATGGAACTGAAAAAAAAAAAAAGAAAACATGAAGAGGTCCTATGGGCTGAACTGCAGAAACAAATTAAGTGAACATTTATATTTTCATACATTGGTTTCTGAATCCTGTTTCAACTTTCTCACTTCCCAGATTCCTGCCAGTGTGCCTGCCAGTGAGGCAAATGCCTGCCTGTGTGGTCTCCTTGGGACGACTGTGTAATAAAGTGGTCCCCATCCCACAGAACCTGGCAGGGGAGAATGATGCGTAG